TCTACTTTTAGCATAAACAATCCATCACTATGCACTCCACATTTCTGCCCAAAAGAGCTGAATCAGGCTTTTCTGATTTATTCACCTCCAAGACTGCACATGCTAAAAGTCACAGAATTTTTTTTTTCCAAAAAGGGAGAAATCAGCATAGTTTCTTTTTATCCATTCAGATATTTTCTAAATGAGTTTGCAGGATAAAACAGCTTCATCCATGACTTCGTCTACAATAGAAAGCTTTTACTGGATTAAATCTCAAAGATTTAGCTTTAAATAAACCATTCCAAGTATTGTGTTGTGTGTAGTTGTTACAGCAAGAGCTAAACTTGTACTACAATGCATTATTCAAGGTATGAAATAAGTGTACACCGCCCTAGGCTCTGCTTAACCTCAAAATTCTGTTATCACCATTGTTCACTAGAATAAGGCTGACTCGGTGAAGAAAGCTATACTGCTGGCAGTGCAGACCTCCCCTTTGTTCCTGGGAGCTTTATTGACTTACCTGATTTTGTGGGTTTTCTTTTCCTTAGGTGAATGGAGTTCAGGTTAAACTTCCTGTGGATTTGAACCATGGAGCCAGAGTAGCCATAAAAGGACACTACATAGTTGTTGATACCTCTGTAGGGATCCAGGTTAAGTTTGATGGTGACCAGGAGCTTTTCATTCTGGTTGATGAAAGTCTCAAAGGACAGCTGTGTGGTCTTTGTGGGACATTCAATGACAACCAACTAGATGACTTTTTAAACCCGGATAAAATCCTAGAACAGGATCCAAATAAATTTGGTGACAGCTGGATAGTGAAGGATGACAATAGGACGTAAGTATCGGATAATAATTTATGACACAGCAGAGTGCCTGAAACATAAATCATGTAGTTATAGGCCTAATATACATCATTTACATTCCATAGTAACCCTTTTTAGATATTACTTGTTTGCTAGTGTTTTCACCTTTGAATGACTCCAGTTTTCCACAGAAAATACTGAAATTTTAAAATCACCCTTCAGAGCTTTTCCACATGATATTTATAGATTTTACTTGAGATTGGGTTCCTTTTAATTCGTATAACTTGAATTTTTCCTTAATTTCCTTTTCTAAAATATCTCCTTTATATTCCTCCTTCTTGCTACAAGAAGTCTAAATATATCTCAGATTCAGATCCTAAGATAACTCCACCTTGATTAACATAGGCAAGGGGCATTTATCTGTCTATTAATGCTTTCACATTGAGTGTCCCTGGTGGTGAAGTGGTTAAGGCGTGGCACTGTCAACGCCAAGACCCGGGTTCGATTCCTGATTAGGACACTCCCCGAGCAGATGGAGTTCGTTAGCCCATAAGGCAATCCATCTACGTCCTGAGGACCTCGCTGCCACCGTCCAAGCGTGCTTGGCCCCGGCAGATGAACCTCAGGATTAAAGGGTGGGCTCAGTTCCGCGCACACTGTGTCTCACCTAAAAAATCCAATGCGCAGGCTGGAAGGTGTAAAAGACCTCCCCCGGTTCTTCGTTCGCGAAGACTGGCCATTATTAATGCTTTCACATACAAATTACTGCCCTTACTATATGCAATAAGGAATTGAAATTATCTTGCTTGTGTTGGATAGCTAATTTGTTCATTTCTTCTGGACTTCATTTTATGGATACACAGCCATACATCACAAATTCACAATTATATTCTTAATGGGGAATTATGAGTTAAGTTGTAATACTTCTCACTTTTGGGTTTGACACACTAAGGAAGACTATACACAGCAAATCTACAGACTTTGGCATTGGATTCTATTCTAGTTGAGATATGCCTTGCAGGATATAACAAAATACAAAGATTTACTCAACAACCACTCTGCTGTGTATTTTTCATGCAGGTGTAATGCAGTTTCAGTTGTACCGCCTGCTTGTGATGCAGCAAAAGAGAAAGAATATGAAGAACTCTGCAAAATTGTTTTGAAAAATAGTGGACCTTTTCAGGCCTGCCATTGGCACATTCCCCCACAACTGTATTTTGAGAGCTGTGTCTATGATCTGTGTGCCACAGAGGGGGATTCTGATCAGTTCTGCAAGATTTTAGAGGCATATGCTGCTGCCTGTGAACTTGGAGGTGTGAATCTGGGTGAATGGAGGAAAGATACCATATGCGGTAAGTCATTAGGTCATTTAGCAAATAACCATCCAATTAAGTCCTTATACTACAAATATAAATTCGAATGCCTGAGAAGCTGAACAGAATTTCAGAAATGAGGATTCAGTGAAAGACAGGAAGCTTTTGAATGCTTAGCATCTCTGTTAATTTGGCTTCTAATCTAAGCCTCTAATGGGCTTCCTGTATTCACTTTAGAATGTGGTGTCTGAACACTTTTGCTTCAAGACTGTTTTTCAGAATTGAGTTGGGAGAGACAACATACACTGCCAGCTAAGTGCTCAGAAAGGGACAATTGAACATTTGCCCAACAAATCACCATTTTGGCTTTAATAAAATATTTTATTTTTTTGAGAAGTGTTAACTTATCACTTACCCAACCTGTCTACAGCTCCAGACTTTCACCAAGCATGCAAAATAAATTCATAAGTATGTAAACCAGGGCTTTAAAATTAATAAAAAGGATTCTGCAGCTTAAGGTCCATTCAGCCTTAGACCCTTACTATCTAGGCAGACAAGTTAACACAGAGGTAAGGCTAGAAGCACAAAATTCATAGAATTGTAGAACATTTTGGGTTAGAAGGGACCTTTAAAGGTTATCTAGTAAGGGACCTTTAAAGGTTATCCCTCCTTGCAACAAGAAGGGACATCTACAACTAGATCAGGTAACTCACAATCCAACCTGATCACGAATATTTCCAGTGTTTCACCATCCTCACTGTAAAAAATTTCTTCCTTGTATCTTTAAATTTGTTTTTCTAGAACCTCCAGAGGTGATTACCAAAGCCAACAGAAACAACAGCCTAAGTATGAGGCTATTACACGAAAAGACATTCTGTAGTCTCTTTCCAATTCCAAGACAATATTTCTCATACCAGTTTATAAGCAGTAAAAAAAAAAAAGTCAGACAATTCTCATTATGAAGTCTGGATTTCCACCTAAAAAGGATTTTGAGAGCCAGTTGAATACTACTATGCCAAATAGGACATCTTTGAGCAAGTTGCAATGACAAAGGATTATGACTGGCACAGTGTAAAAATACAGGATCTTAGTGCATTATAATGACAATTGATGGAGGGATTTGTAAAAAACCACACATTCTCAGACACTAAAAACTTCATGTTTTATAGTCAGTTTTTCAGTACTGGTCACTTATACTCATTTCATTATAACATCTTCAAATTTTTCATGAACATCTGTTCGTTAGACCTAGAAGGGCAGTGTCAGAACAGAGGGGAGATTCCAAACCTCATTGCAGAAACTGTTTTTCTTTCTTCACAATATACAGCTGCACCAACAGCCTGCAATATGTCCTGTACTTTTGAGATTGACTTCTGTGAGTGGAAACAGGAAACTGATGATGACTTTGACTGGATAAGGCACAAGGGACCCACACCCACAGCAAATACTGGCCCTTCTCATGACCACACAACTGGAGGTAGGAACAACCAAACAGTATCTGGCCGTGCTTCTCTTGGAAGAAGGAAGGGAGCCTCTTTTTACAGAAAATCCAGGCCACGTGTTTCTAGGCTTAATCTAGAGCCTTCTGCAGCAGTCAGAAATCTGTTATGGGGGGGTGAACAGTGCAGGACTGTAATGAGGCTTCAGTAAAGGTATATCCACTCTGAGACTGGATCATTGTAACAGTTGGCCTTTCCATTAGTATTTCTTTCCCTAAGTAGAAAACCAGTGTAATCTGCTGGAAATCTATTTGTGGACTGAAAGACAAATGGGGGTGCTGGGTGAAGTAATCGTATACAGTATACACACTGTAAATGAAATGACTTTGTCTCATCCCGGCCCATTAATGCGAAAAACTGATGTTCTTCTGTTTCCAGAGGGCTATTATATCTACCTGCAAGGAAGTAAGCAAGAGCAAAGTGATATAGCCCGCTTGGTCAGTCCAGTGTGTAGTTCAGAGGGACCGCACTGCTTCCGCTTTTGGTATCACATGTATGGAACAGCTGAAGCAATGGCTCTGCGTGTGTATGTAGTACACAATGAAACATCAACACTGGAATGGAAAGAGGCTGGAAGCAAAGGGGATGCATGGAATTTGGGAGAGGTCACAGTACACAGCAAAGGAAATATGCAGGTAAGGCCAAAGGCTGTCACTACCATCTGAGATGAATCATGTTTTCCGATGGCAATTCATATACATGACTAGAGCTAATGCTGAGACTTATCCTACCCCTTAGATTGTCCTGGAAGGCATGATAGGTGAAAGTTTACTCAGCGACGTGGCATTGGATGATCTCTCCATTGTAAAGGGGCACTGTACAGGTATGAAGATTGGCTTGGGAAAGGGCAACCTACAGAATGTTATGTTTCTTATGACCATCATCATAGCTGCTGTCCTGAACCAGAGCAAGTCGAGGAGGATTCATTTCTTTATACCATTGTCTCTTTTACAGATGTGACTCCAACCACACCAGGCACCACGATCACCTCACCTTCAGAAGAGACACCCACATCAACACCCATGCCAGGCACAGGTGAGTACAGAAGATGAGTAATGCACCAGATGCTCTTTGAGAAAGGTGATTTAGGGAGAAGAGGCAGCGAGAGATGCTCAACTGAACTTGTCCTCTGGTCTCTCCACTGTTAGGGACCTGCGTGGTGGAAGGAGACCCTCACTACCACACCTTCGACAAGCAGCTACACAACTTCATGGGCACCTGCACCTACACCCTCTCCAAGCTGTGTGAGAGCAACAGCTCCCTGCCCTACTTCAACG